AATACCCACTTGGTCAGACGCATTGGATTCTTATGCTCCAATACGTCTGTTTGTCTATAAGGTGCCACAGGACTCTCTGTCGCTTTTTACAGATCCAGACTAACACCGCTACCCCTCTGATACGGGTCTCAATAGTGTTCACTTGTATACTGAGAAGAGCAATTTCTTCCACAGCAGGAATGACAGGATGAAATTCTCTGGCCTGTGTTATACAGGAGCTCGGACTAAATGATCAGAGTGATTCCTTCTGGCCTTAAAAGCTCTGAATTCTTTAGAAAACGGGCAGATTCTGAATACTGCAAACATTCAATAAGCTGCCTACAGAGGCACAAGCCACCACAAGTTATTCACAAAACTACCCACCCAGTAACTTCCAATAATGAAATAACAGCCAGTCTGTTTGCAGGCTAGTCACAGACAGGAGGAGTAAAATTTGGGAAATAAATCGTATTACGACTGTACTTCCCCAGCGCTATCCAGGCATGCTTGTTCTGTGGAGCAAGGGTGTTAAGCCCTAATTCTGCACAGGCCTAACACTGTGAAGATGAGTAGTTCTACCGATGTCCATGGGGTTACTCAGACGTGTAAAGCTATGTGCATGCAGCTAAGGCTTTGCAGGATCGGGGCTTTAGTCTTGAGGCCTGTCAAATTTACTTATAAAAAACCCAGAATCTCTTAACCTTTTCTTTTCTTTTGGTGATTGAATGATTGAATTTCTTGCTTTGTATTATTCCACCCTCCCTTCCTCCCCAACCATACTGTGTAATGCAGCAAACAGGGTGTGACAGGAAGATCCTGAAGAGAGCTGATTAAAAATAAAAGGAACTCCCCCAAAAAAATCACAGGAATGTTGATGAATTTTTTTTATGTTTTCCATTCACACTTTGACCAGCTCTCGTCCTGCATGTCACTGACCTCCATCTGGAAACCTAACCCCCTTTCCTCTGGAGTGTTCAGCCTCCTCCCGTGATGGTCAGATGGAAAGGATGCTAGCCACCTTGTGACTTACTTCCCCACCTGTAAAATGGGCATAGTCGCTCTCCCCTACCTCACTGGGGTGCTGTAGGATAAATTCACTAGTGACTGTGAGGGGTTCAGTTACCATTGTGATGGGGACAGATAAGTACCTAGGATAGATGGATTCCCCCAGAATTTGTTGAACCTCAAAGCATGGTGGAAAGCCCATCTCTTTGAATGGGTATGTCCAAAGGCTAAAACAGCTAATGGTGGGATTTCTGACTGGTGGAAAAATGCAATATGGGAGGAAAGATCTTGGAGACATCATGGATAGTTTGCTGAAAACATCTGCTCAATGTGCAGCGGCAGTCAAAAAAGCTAACATTGTTAGGAGACACTAGGATAGGGATAGATAAGACAGAAAATAATGCCAGTATATACATTCATGATATGCCCACACCTTGAATACTGTGTGCAGTTCTGGTTGTCTCATCTCAAAATATATACATTAGAATTAGGGGTCTGGAACAGGTTCCATCTGAGGCGAGATTAAAAAGACTGTTAAGCTTAGAAAAGAGACGACTAAGGGGGGACATAATAGAGGTCTATAAAATCATGAAGGTTGTAGAGAAAGTGAATAGGGAAGTGGTACTAACCCCTTAACACATAACACAAGAACCAGGGGTCACCCAATGAAATTAATAGGCAGCAAGTTTAAAACAAATATGAGGAAGTACTTCTTCACACAACACACAATTAACCTGTGGAACTACTTGCCAGGGGATGCTGTAAAACGCCACAAGTACAACTGGGTTCAAAAAAGAACTAGATAAGTTCATGGAGGATAGGTCCATCAATGGCTAGCAGCCAAGCTGGTCAGGGATGCAACCCCATGCTCTGGGTGTCCCTAAGCCTCTTACTGCCAGAAGCTGGTGTGGACGACCAGGGATGGCTCACTCGATAATTGCCCCGTTCTGTTCATTCCCACTGAAGCACCTGGCACTGTCAGAAGACAGGATACTGGGCTAGATGGACCACTGGTCTGAGCCAATATGGCTGTTCTTATGCGTTTTAAGCTACGTTGGTCATGTGACATTTAATCAACTGACATGTGGTAGGTGAGAGGAAGACATGCAGCTGCTTTTTGATTGTTTCTTTGTAATTCCTATGTCCTTGTGTATATTGACGTCACACGGCGCGTTGGACGGACGCCCTTTGGGGTGGGGTTTTATTAGCCTGGAATTTAAATAACTGTTTTGATGGGTGGGGTGGGCTGTGCTTCCCTTCCAGGTAGAGAATGCAGCTGGGACAGGTGACATGGAGCGAGCGTCCCAAGCTTCCCGCACTGCCCGCATACTGAATATCATCGGGATTGTCATAGGAGTAATTTTCCTCATCATTATAATTGTCGTAGTGGTAGTGGGGAGAACTGCCAAGTGATAGAAGCCAGCGTCATCTTCGAAAAACTCACCGGCGCTGGACAATAGCCATGTATCCAGTGCGAGCCCTCCTACCTACTCAAAGAGCCAACTGGGCGCAAAAAGGGGAGTCCTCGGCACCACTGAGACTGCCAGCCAGAAGCTGCGTCATGCACAAGCACCAGCCTGTCCTTTTAGAAGCATTTCTCCATAATTAATTGCTTTGCGCTTTTGAATTAACCAGATTAACATGTTTTTCTCTATTGGTATGCAAATATATTGTAACAAGATACAATAAAAAAGGATTTGTATACAAGTGTCTCCCTACAAGTTTGTTTCATGTTGGATTAATATACGGGGCCAAAGAATCAAAGGTGTTAATGTAACCATGAAACTACCCAACATTAAACAAGGTTCGGGTTTTTGTGTACAGAGACCTCAACCTGTTTAATACCCTGGCCAACACACCACTAAAGATGCTTTTAAACTTTTATTAAAGATACAGAAACAAAAGGAAAAGTGTTGCAAAATATATGGTCTTGGCCAGCTAAGCCATACTATTATTAGACAGAAGGGAAAAGGAGAGGGCTAGGAAAGAAAAGAACTAAGGTGCGGGAAAGGAAAGGGCACATAGGAGTATGTGTCTATGTGAGGCACTAGTTTCCCATCCCAGGTAGTGCTCAGGGGTTAGCCAGATCTGGTGGGCATGGTGAGGTCATCTGAGGTCCCTCTCTTTGGCCTGGTCTGGTCAGGACATCTCTTGGGATTAGGACAAAAAAGGCACAATGGAGTCACACTAAATCCCAGGAGACTGCTTGTTTAGAAAGAGCTGTGTGGTAATTTATAACTGCGGGAAGTTACACGGTTGTCAACCTCAGAGGCGGAAGCAAAACAGGCCTTCTTAGTTAGACTGTCATTTGCTGGAAATAACACAATGAAGTCCGGGAACTGTTCAGCCTGGAAATACCCCAGTCAGGAGGGAGACAGAGGCAGGGCTCCACCCAAGAAAGGCAACAGCTATGGGAGGGTTAGGGGTGGAAGCCCCACATCCTTTCAGAAAGATAAAAATGAAATAAACACACTATCATTTTTTTGCAACATCAACTTGATGCAGCTACATTTTATTCCAGCTCTTCTTGCATGGCTGCCAAAGAGAGATGCCCAGGGCAAAAAATGGTCAGATTAAAGTGACTGCACGCGGTGGAATATTGCAGCTGATTCTCCAGCTGCCTTTACAAGGTGTGGCTAGGCCTATGGTATCTGCACATTCAAAAGAGCCAGAAACGAGCATTTGCTACATGTTTGTAGCTTCCATAGTTCAGAGTCAGTTAGAGGATGGTTGGCTTTTTTCCATACAAAAATCCTTATTTTTAATCAATATGCAAGGTGACTTGTCTAACCAAGAGACCCCTTCTTAGTGGTGCTCTCATGCCCTAGGATTTATAGAGCTGAAGTAAAGAACCTGGGACCCCTCAGGGTCCAGTAAAGCTCTCCCTGCTCCTACCATCAATGGAAAAATCTACTGGGGTCAAGTCTTCAGCCTCAGATCCATTTTCTTTTCAGGGCTTCTCAAAACCTTTCACTCCACAACATTTTTCTTCCAGAGGGCAGAAAATCCCTGTGCTCTAATGGAGCCCCTGCTGCTTGGTAAACATTCAGATGGGGAAACTGTATCTCTGTTGCAATCACTCTTTCCTATGCTCCAGGAAGCGTGTGTATTTCTTTCTTTCGTGAAGCATGAGTTACGGTAATTAGAAACTAGGGGCCCTAGTCTGTGTGGTGGGAATGGCCTGACTCAGTTGAAAATATTGCACATAAGAATCTCCCCATTCCCATTACTTGTCCTTTCTTTTCAGGCCATTGAGAATTACAGTAATGTGGAAGAGGATTCGGGTGCTGGTGTGTGTGTCTGGGAGGGGCCTCCCCCATGCAAGCTTTTGAAAGGGTATTTACACAGGCTGGAAGTATGTGTGTAATATTTTCACAGACCCTTGGGACTGTTTGGGGCTGCTCCTTGCCTTACAAGCCTGATTAACCTAATGAAAAAGCCCCCGTGTGGGCAACTGGCTGGCTCTGGGGATTGGGAGTGGACCACGGAGTATTTCCCTAGTATGATTCTGTCTGCCTCAGGTCAACAGTAACCAAAAACTGCTGCTGTTTGGTGGCGCCCTCTGTGAAATCATTTGATGGAGCTCAGTACAGTTACCAGCAAGCAAATGTCCAAAGCCAAGGGCCTCCTGGCTGCGAGCCCTAGCACAGAGTGTTTCCAGGACTGTTTTCTAAGTTCTTAGGCAGGAAGGAGAGGATGTATGTATGGGGAAAGATTGTCTTACTGCTGCTCACGTTGTCCCTTTTCCATAGATAGAGAACTCGAGTAAATACCCCAGCACTATTGCTCCTTTGCCCAATCCCTCAACCTACTGGCTACAGTCCTGCACAGATGGAGAAAGTGAGGCATAGGCTGTTTTGAATACAGCAGTTTCCCTTCAGGCTAATCAGCTTTCCTGTAACTCACTCCCAGCCGAGTTAATGGGGGCCATGTGCAGGCACAGCCATAGCCCAGTGGACCTGGTCCAACTAATTCTAAACAAAGCCGTTGTTTCTCTCCAGATTCCACCAGTCCGGGTGACACCACTTTGAGAGTGTCACGCAAGAGGGTGGGGTGGTTTCCCCCCACAAGTTAGCAATTGTAACTTGGAAAGAACAATCTGCTTTTGATTGGATAGAAAGGGAGAGCTTTTCTGAAGCTATTCGCATCTCTGGTGTCAACAACCGCTCAGACTTGCAGCCGGGGCTTAAAGCAGCATGAAAAGAATGTGTGGGGTTGGCGGCTCTATCATCATCTTCAAGTAGCAGTGCTTAAAGTACATCCCCCAGGTTGGTTTCAGTTTTTGGTTGGGGTTGTGACCCCCTTGAGGCACTCACCCCCACACACACTTTCAGCACTGAGTGTAGCTGAGCTGTGATAGATTGTGACCTCCTTAGGTCTCATAAACTAAGCAGGGTGGGGCCAGCACTGTCCTTGGATGAGAGCCCCGTAAAGACAAGGAGAAGCTGCAGGGAGTCACCTGCCTCCCCCTCTGGGTTATAGAAGTATTTGTTTAGGATGAATTAATAAAGGTCAGATGAATCTTGGAGCCTGGATTAGGCAGTGATTTTGAGCCCGGACTATCTGCTTTTTGTTGATCCTCACCTTGGACATTCCCAGACCGGTGCTCTTTGTCATGCCCTGAAACGCTTTCCAGGTCTGCTCAAACCAAATCTAAGTCTGTCCCTCATGGCATTGCAGCGCACTACTGCTCAGCCACCCCCTTGCTAGGAAGCTTGTCTAAGATCACCTGTTGCTGCCAATGGAAATAGCCAACCGGTTCTGTTCAAGGCTTGGCTCAAAGTGTTGGCATTGGCTGCCTACTTTCTGTTGGAATCCCAGTTCCAAATAATGAATGTTGGGGTTCTCTGGCCATGCTGAAATATTTTTTTTAAACATTCGTTTGAGTCGACCTGAAAAAAAATATTTTGCTGAATTTTTGGTGAATCAAAAAGTAAAAGAAAATTCATTTTGGGTCAAATGAAATATTTAGTTCGACAGGAAACTGTGTTTTCTCTAGATTTTGAGTTTTGTTGTTTTTGTTTTGTTTTTATAGTTCTGTATTTTTAAAGTAAATTGAAGGACATTTTGAAATGAAAAGTCATTAAAACTTTTCATTTTGGAAGTATTCCAGGGTTGGAATAAGTCAAAACAGCAGATATTTTGTTTTTTTCGGTCAAAACAATTCAGTGAAACCAGCACAAATTTGTGACATTTTTGGTATCACCGAATCTGTATTTTTTTCCACCAAAAACAATTTTGGCCAAAAAATTTTTTGCCCAGCTCTAGCTGTGAACTCCATCACTTGCGACATTTAAACCTGGACTGGACACAGCATGGGAAACTGTACTCTCGAGAGCAGCCTGGATTGGCTGAGGGGGCTGGAGGAATAGGATAGCTGCTGCTTGTATTGTGACACTTCCTTCGGGGACCCAGGGTGTTCAGGCACCTTGCCACTGCCTGCCCTCAGCATGAGGAAGTCTTGTCTGTGCACGCAATGTGAAACCACTAGCCTCCGGCAGCAGAAGCACTGCCTTCCTGCCCTTCGTAGGCCTCACTGTCTCAGTACAGATTACCGCTGGGCACATACCTCCCGCTGAGTTCTCGGAATGGCCTCTGGTACGCCCAGCCCATGTTCCACTGAACAGTTACAGAACTCTGAGCTGCTACTCCCTAAAGGAAAAACACACCAGCTTGCAAGATTCAACTGAGGATCACCACTCAACTCAACACACTTCAATATATACACAGAGTGAAAACAGGAATAAGTTTATTATCAAAACAGAGATTCAAGGACAGCAAGTGAGGATATTGCAAAGCAGTGGTTACATATCAAACAAAATCATAACGTGTTTTCTAGAGCCGGCACTCACCTAACCAGGCATTCCGCTATCTCCTACGAGATAGCTTACCCCACATCCTTTTCTCAGAATTTTCAACCAGTTTAGCTGAGATCCCTTCTCATCAAATCAATCCTGCTGGCAGTCCTCACAGACTGAAGGAATAACTGGAGGTTCATCTGCACCCCCGATATAGTTTCAAAAGTTCATTGCCTTATGCCTAATCAAGATAACCCCTGCTGGCTTATTTTTCCTGAAGCCCCTGCAATCAATTGATTAGCATTTGGCTCAGATTGTAAATGGGTGTCCTTTGGGAACCACACAATGCTCAGTTTGCACATGATGAGCCAGCGTGACATACGCATCTCTGTCTTGCATGACAGAGGTATGTGGATCACCTGGTGGCCTGCCTTAATTCACAGTCCTAGGGAACATCATTTTTAGTATAGATCCATAACTATTCACATGTTTTCCATACATATATCTTGCAATGATTATGACGATCAGTGTGACACAGGCTTCATTAGAGACCTTACGTGACCCCTTTTGACGAACCCAGGAGATCCCTCTACACCTATGTACCCTGGGGCCATCTGCCAGTTGGCATCAAGGGGTCCTTGGGTCACATGTCCTATCTCTCAATTCTACATTCTTTGATTAATGCACATGCCAATGCAAAATCACGTGCAGGTTTGGCTCTGAGAAGCCCCCACCCCAGCTCCCTGTGCTCCACGCTCCCTACAACTCCCTGCCCCTCACAGAGCCAAAATACAAGTTTGCCCCAGGCGCCTTTTTCCCTAAGGCCAGCCCGGCCCTTTCCCTTGCGCCAAGGCTCTTTCTTGCTCATTTTCAGGAGGACTAAGCAGGCCGCTTGCACGCAACCAGACTCAGCACAGCCTCAAAATCTGAAAATGTGCGTTGGGAACGGTTTGGAGTCACCTCCATACATTGTACATCATACCCGGCCTCTCTCAGGGCTTCCTCCACCGACTCCCGCTCCAGGTAGAGGCAGGAGAACCTGCGTTGGCCTACCATGTAGTAGGTTTCTTTCAGGACTATCACCATCACCAAGTGGCCTCCTGGCTTTAACAGAGAACTGATGTTCTTCAGTGCTGCACGATAGCTGTTCAGGTCTTTGCAGGCAGCTTCCAAGCACAGTGCGGAGAGCAGGCAGTCGGCCTGGGGCAGAGACGCAGGGGCCAAAATGTTGGATTTGGACACATCGCATTTCAGAACCTGCTTGACTTTCTTTCTCAACTTCTCTTCCTTCTCAGCCCACTTTTCCCTGCAAGAAATGTTATATTGTGTACTATTGCATGATTTTCAGTCTGTCCATTAGATCGCAGCAAGGGGATGTTCAATGGACTCGAAAGGCAGCATATTTAAAACTAGTAAGAGGGGACGCTTTTTCCATACGGCACGCGATTAACCAGTGGAACTCATTGTCACAAGACACCGCTGAGGCCAAGAATTAGACAAAAGGATCTGATATTTACATGGATAATAGCCAGTTACATTACAGTAGGGATTAATCATAACTGAGCCCTGAGGGGCTATAAACCCTCCTGCTTCAGGGCATAAGCGAAGCCCTGACTAGCTGGAGTTAGGAGGAAACGTTCCCTGGGTGCTAGGCATTTCACAATTGTCAAACTGCAGAGCAATGCAGCAGTAGCAAGAGAGGATATTGGTGTGACTCTCCATTCCTACTGATCCAGGAGCCTGTGGAGCTTTGGGCAGCTCAGCATTTTCTCTTTGCCTCAACACCTTCTGTGCTTCTGATCTATGCCGGGAAGGAGGAGGCTCCAGTGTTTAGCATGCTAACCTAGAACCTCGGAGACCTGCATTCAGTTCTGTGCTCTGCCACAGATCCTTCTGCGTGGCTTTGAATAAGTCGCCGTCGCTCTGTGCCTCAGTTCCCTCTCTGGATAATGGGGGTAATGTCACAAGGGTGTTGAGAGTCAATGCATTAATAAAAATAGAGAGTCTCTCAGACACTATGGCGATTGGGGCTGTATGAGTTCTCAGATAAATAGTCTCATGCCTCTTCTGCAGCCCTTCTTCCCCCAACCCCCCATCATTCCAGTCCTGGGCTGCACCCTTCAACAGCTCTGCCTGAACAGCCCCCCTGTTGTTCCAGTCCTGGGCTCTCCCCACCCCTCCAGCTTTGCCAATGCACCTCTATCCAGACCTGCGTTCCCTGACCCTTGCTAGGCCAGTCCTGCTCCCCCTACACACAGATACACAGCTCTGCTGATGCCCCTGAGTCCTAACCTACAGCACTCCTTGCTCTTCCAACCTGGCACCTCTCCTGAACTGAGACTGCCACTGGTGTGGATTTCAATTAAAATCAAGTAGCTACAACTATTCACTCTGAAAATAGAAGGGCTGATGTACTTGGAAATATTTATGTGGATGTTTAGCTCTGGAGAGAGATTAGATAGCAAGTCTCTGCAACACAAAGCCCCACATCGGACTGAAACAGCATCGCTGCCATACACAGAGACAGATGCTCTATCTAGATACAACGGTTGTTTTATTATTGATCAGTTTTGTTAACTCATTCACACCATGGCCATTTGCAGACCTGTGTAAAGACACGAGCCCTGTTCCAAGACTAACTAGAACTTTTTATTCTAGACAGGTTTCAAAGTAGCAGCCGTGTTAATCTGTATCCGCAAAAAGAACAGGAGTACTTGTGGCACCTTAGAGACTAACACATTTATTAGAGCATAAGCTTTTGTGGGCTACAGCCCACTTCTTCGGATGCATAGAATGGAACATATATTGAGGAGATATATATACACACATACAGAGAGTCGGGACTGGGCTATCTTGATTATCACTTCAAAAGGTTTTTTTCTCTTACTTAATTGGCCTCTTAGAGTTGGTAAGAAAACTCCCACCTTTTCATGCTCTCGGTATGTGTGTATATATATCTCCTCAATATATGTTCCATTCTATTCATCCAAAGAAGTGGGCTGTAGCCCACGAAAGCTTATGCTCAAATAAATTTGTTAGTCTCTAAGGTGCCACAAGTACTCCTGTTCTTTATTCTAGACAAGATCTCAACAAGGTCCCATGAGAGGCCCCTGCTGGCCCAGAGTGGAATTTTAAAGATATTTACACGCTATTAGGAAATACAGTTTGTGTGGTTTTCCAGATTTCAATTTCCTGTTTAAACCATAACCCCACAGGAAACTAAAAAGCAAGAGGCATCCACGTTCCCTGCATTGGCCAAGCCGCAGGCTACAATGACTGAACCGTATTCAACCAGAGCGGAAAAAGGACGAATTGAGAGAAGCAGGAGTGGGATCAGTGTTTGTACAGCTGCACTTACACAGTTGGCAGTAACTACTTGCACTCCACTGAATGAATGTCCTGGGAGGGGTAATGCCCAGAACTACAAATCTGGAAATTATCAAGTAAGGAGAAACTCTGGCATGGCGCAGCAAAGGTGATGTGTATAGAAACCTGCTTACCAGAACTGGGGAATTTAAGTAAAGGTCTGTGTCCCGGTTGTTCATTTCAATATGACTTTGGATTCAGGTTTCAAATCCCTCCACATATGCTTTTGAAAGACACACACTCAGTCCTTTCCATCTATGGTGGGAGCAATGGTCATGCAGTCAAAGCAAAGACCGGCGTTCTAGTTCTCACTCTGCCACTGACTTCCTGTGTGATCTTGGGCATGCCACTTTCCCTCTCTGCACCTTAGTCGCCCCATCTTTAAAATGGAGATAAAAATGCTTCCTTATCTGTCTATGCAGTGTAGTTGTAGCCATGTTGGTCACACGAAATTAGAGACTCCAGGTGGGTGAGATAATATCTTTTATTGGACCAACTTCCATCCAATAAAAAAATAAAAATTGGCCACTGTCGGAAGACAGGATACTCTGCTAGATGGATCTTTGGTCTGACCCGGTATGACAGTTCTTATGAGATGGAAGGTGATTGAAAATTGTGAAGTATTAGTACATATTAGAATAGTTATTTCAGTACAATAGTGTGAAATTTAGATTGTAAGCTCCATGGAGCAGGGACCTTCTTTTTGCTGTATGTTTGTACAGCACCTAACACAAGGGGGTCCCTGGTCCATGGCTATGCTGAAACAATTTTTAGAGTGGGGGTGCTGACAGCCATTGAACCCAATTGTAAACCCTGGATATAATGCAATCAACTTCAAGCCAGGGGGTACTGCTGCATCCCCAGCCTCCTTACTTCCAGCACCAATGCATGCAACGCATCATGTTACCTATAAAAGTCTCCCTAAGGTGGATCCTTTTGAAATAGAGGGGTGTCAACATGAAATTTTGTCCTGAGAATTATTATTAAAGGCACCAAGCATGAAAGGAAAAATGACAAATTCTATGCACAAAGAGAATGGATGCTCTACATTTTCAAAAGTGACTAGTGATTTTGGGAGACTCTTTTTGGGTGTCCAACTTGAGCTACCTTAAAGGGAGCCTGATTTTCACGTGGGAAGTGCTTAGGACATGCTAGATTTGGGCCTCTTTTACAGCATCTCATTTAATGCACCCAAAAAACTAGTCCCCTGGGAAAATGTGCAGAATTGGTCAGAAAAATGTCCAAACCCAACTTTGATGGAAAATGATGTGGGGAAGTTACACGAAGATGTCCATGGTTTTTTTTTTGTTTTCCAACCAGCTGCAATTAGTAAAAAAAAAAAAAAAAAAAATTAAGTTACTTAAGTTTGAGAAGCATGCAGGCTTCAGCGCTCTGAGAGAGGTATGGGAGGGTTTCCTGATAGCAGCTACAGAGAATGTGTGACAGGATCATTCTTCTGAGTTGTTTTATAATAAAGGCTGAAAAGAGAGGACTGTTGTTCTGTGTGCAGCACTATTCTAGTCAAAAATTTTACACAACACAGAGATAAGCCCTAAGCCCTGATCCTGAAACACTTATACACTGCTTCACTTCAGGCAATGTATTATTATTGATTATTTGTATTACTACAGCGCAGGGGTGCTGGAACAATTTGTATAGGGGAGGTGCTGAGAGCCATTAAACCAAACTGTAAACCCTGTATATGATGGAAACCAGTTCAATCCAGGTGGTACTGCGGCATCCCTAGTTCCAGCAACTATGTGGCTATGGCTTGTGGGTACTATGGTAATTAAGATAATATCATAATAATTATAACTAATAATAAGAGTGACGCATGACCTATAGGGTTCAGCTGGCAGCTTCCACACATGGCAGTTGGATCCATGAGCGAGCGCTTCCAGTAGATTCTCATTTCTTGAGCCTCCCTGCGTCTGTCGTATGTCAGCCTGTTGGGTGACCTAGTCCTGTGTTTTTACATCATACTCTAGTAAGAGGTCCCCTCCCCTGCAGGGGTTCATTTCAGTGACAAGACATGTTTCCTTTCATCATCAGTAGCCAGGTCTCCCTCCCTTACCTATCTCCTTCCAGCTCACACACGTATTTCACCACTGGAGTCCAGTCGAACGCTCCTGGCTCATTCTTCAGCCATTTCTCCAGTTCCTGGCGGTTCCGGTCGGTATAGTCCGAAGCGATGATCTCCTTAAAGTTCTCGCAGGCGGAGAGGAGCTGATAAATGGTGGGGCCGCTGCCGATGTCAATCAGGGTGTCGCCTTTCACCCCACCTGGTTTGGAACGTCGGGGAACGAAGTTACATTGGCGCATTGCACGACCCATAAGTCGGAGAAGTTGTACTCACTGCTGGTTGGGGGTTTTCTGGGGGGGGGGGCTTTTTGTTTGTTTGTTTGTTTTATTTGCTCCTTTGATGCCTCATGCGAATGGTATGTAGGATGGAACACTCCTCCAGCAACAGCCTCATCATCTAAGGAGGTGTGTCCTAGTTAGGGCCTTTGCCTAGGACTAAATAAATCTGCCACCGACTCGCTGTGTGACTTTGGTGCGTCACTTAATCTGTCTGAGCCTCAATCCTTCGTGTGTTAAGTGGGAATAACAATCCTGCCTTGTACATTTTGTCTATTTAGATTATAAACTCTCTGCCAAGGCTGAAGTTGGCTCCTTATTCCCAATTCCTTGTTTGTGGTACCAGCTTCCTATCCATTGTTCCCAGCTGTGTATTTAACCTCCACAATTATTTAAAAATATGTCAATGTAAGATTAATTATTTTTAGAAATTTCATCAAATGTATGTGATTGAATGTGCTAAAAATGTAAATGATTGATTACTTATTTATTAATTGAATGACCAAAGAAGTGGATTGGCAGTGTGACATTGCGCAGTAACAAAACTTAAACTCAGCCAGCGGCATGCCTCAGTTCCTTCGGAATAGTCTAACAGTGACCGGGGTGTGTCACTTGGGGTGACCCAAGACTAATTTTGTCATGTTCGGCCCGTCAAAACCCAGCTCCTTACTTCGTTAGTAATTGAATAATCAGATCATTATCTTTTACATTTTCATCGGTTCAATCACACTGATCAATACATTTTTAAATAATGTTGGTCTTTGAATAAGGGTCTAGGAACCATGAATAAGGAACCGACTTCAGTCTCAGAGCTCTCTAGGGAAAGGACTTCCTATGTGCGTGTACAGCGCTCAGCACAAACAGGGTCCCGAGCTCAGCTGGGGACTCTCTACACTATCACAATAATCATTCTATAGAAGCTCATTATCATAGCTGTTCTGATACCATGATCCTGAACATGCTTTAAAAATGTTGCTAGGTTAGATTAAAAAACTAGAAAACCAGAGTAGGGAACCGGCAGTGGAAAAGGTAACCCAGAATAGCCGAGTTATAAACTGCTTAGCGGTGAGCCCAATCATATGCTATAAAATCCTGTGGAGAAGTTCTCCAGGGTTTGTAGTAACATCAGTAACCCCTAGTCCATTTCCAGGTTTAGAATCCAGCTGGCAACATCTGTTACTTTTCATAATATATAACAGGAAAGAAATCAGATTAATTTATGAAGAGGCAGGGTTGGTTTTTTTTAATTCCTGTGATATTCAAGGGTTTAACTGCTTGTGCAACAGTGAGGACAGTTCCAGATTGCAACATTGATCATAGCAGGGAACCAGGTCACCTGCTCCTTTTACTAGTTGCAATTTGCAGTCCAGCCGAGTCAGTGATTTTAATTCTCGTGGAAGTCTGGGGTTGATGACACAGATGGCTCCCTACTCTGGGTCCCCCCATCCTGATTCTGCCATTCCAGCCTTGGGCCTCACCCTCAATTCTGCCATTGCATCTTATTCTTGAGTCTCAGCTTCCACTCGCTCTTCCCCTCCTGGGCTGTACCACACACCGCTCTGCTAATGCAGCTCAATCCTATACTACAATACGCTTGTTATTCTAATCCTGAGCTTCACTATACACAGCTCTGCAGACGCTCTTCAATCCTGACTCACCGTCCCTACCTTTCTCTAGGCTAGGTCTCCCCCAGCCCCAGCTCTGCCAATACCCCTCAATCCTGACCCATAGCACCTCCCATTATTCCAGCCCTCGACCTCTCCAAAATTGAGATTGCCCCGACATATGGATTTTAAAGGGGAAAATCAAGTAGCTAACTCTAGCGGCAACACTTAGAAAATGAAGGGGCTGACATACTCCGACATACTTTCGGTAGCTTAGTGTGAGTATGTAGCTCTAGAGATTAGGGTGTGTGACATACAAAACCCCACATCATACTGAACCATCATGGCCTCTGCAGCTGCTAATTAAAGTAAGAAACACTCTCAATGTTATTTATTATGTGCATGCCCCGAACATCCCATGAGTATGAAGACAAGACTCTTGTCCCCAAAGCCTTACTACCCTTATAGAGCCTCGTCATTTCCCACCAGACAGCATTATTAAACGAGCATGCGATCACAGGACAGGGGAGGAGCTGAGAACTTCTCAGCCCTAGTGCACTATGCTCGCAGGACACTATACTCACCTGAAATGAATATCTTAAACAGGCTTCTCAGGTTTAATTCCAGAATTTCATTCCCTTGGCAATGACTGGAACCGAAGGAATAGTAGGTTTTCAAATACGCTGCAGGGTCAAAATCTTTCTGATAAGCTTCTCCCCCCGTGAAACTAGCTGGAGATTCCATCTTGCACAAACAACCTCTGCTCTGCGTTTGTTCCCAGTGGAGATGGATAGCTCCTCCTGTTGATACTTTAACCCCTCCTTGTACTGACAATTTTCACTTTCACTTCAGACTAAGACATTTTTCAGGCTGAAAAAAACCCACAGGTTCTGCAAGATTTTCTCAGTCTGCAGAATCAAAAGAAGCAGCAGCTGAAAAGAATATACGGGGAAGAAAGTGTGTCTGAGGCAGGGTGACCATATTGTCCCAAAGGGAAAATGGGACACTGTGTGGGGCTGGCCCGAGGCCCCCCTGCACGGGGCCAGCCTGAAGCCCCCTGCCACCCACCCGCATGGGGCTGGCCCAGCCCAAGCTGCTCTCCTGAGCCTTCCTTCCCTTCCTCTCAGGGCTGGCATTGCCGCTCTCCCACCTCCACCCGCCAGGGCCGGCTCTGGCTTTTTTGCCGCCTCAGGCAAAAAAGCCTCCCCCCCCCCAGCGCGGCAGGGGAGGGCACTGAGCCTGGCCGCGGGCCGCTCTCCCCAACCAGCCGGAGCGCCGCGGGGAGGGCAGCTAGCCCGCCGCAGCTCTGCTGGTGGCCGGAGCCCCAGGAGGAGGGCGGAGAGCCCGGCCGGGGCTCCGCTCTCCCCGGTGGCTAGAGCGCCGTGGGGTGGGCGGAGAGCCCGGCCGGGGCTCCGCTCTCCCCGGTGGCTAGAGCGCCGGGGGGTGGGCGGCAAGCCCGCCGCGGCCCCACTCTCCCCGGCGGCTGGAGCCGGAGCACCGCGCCGCCCCCCTCCAGGTGTCGCCCCAAGCACAAGCTTGGTGGGCTGGTGCCTGGAGCCGGCCCTGCCACCCGCACATTCCTCCGTGCCCCGCTAGGGCTAGGCACCCCACTTTTGCTGGCCAAACTAGGCATTTGTCCCATTTGCTGTTGCCAACTGATGATCAATTGGCAAGAACAAACGGGACAAATGCCAAAAAAAGTGGGGACGGTTGGGACAGGGCTTTAAAAAGGGACTGTCCCAGCCAAAATGGGACATATGGTCACCCTTGTCTGAGGCTACGTCTACACTAGCCGTGGGATGATGATCTGGTCCTGAGCTCAGATGATCTGGTCTGGTCCGGAGCTCAGTCAAATGCTCCCAGCTCATTCCTCAGCCATTTCTGCATCTCCTGGGGGTTCTGATCCATCTAGTCTGTGGCAATGATCTCTTTGAAGCTTTTGCTGGTATATGGTGGGGCTGGTGCAGATATCAATCAGGGTCTCCCCTTTAATATCGTCTGATTTGGAATAAACAATCCCAACTTCTCGGGACATACAGCAGCAGGGGATAGATGATAAAGTTGGATGGATAGAGGCTGAGTTTAGCAAGCTTAAGGATTTCTTCTCTACCTTTCTTAAGGGTTTCAAAAGGCCATTTCCCATGAGAGGTAAAACGCAACAAAGGACCCTGTATACCGCATTCCCCCCCACACAGGGATGTCTGTAAAGTGCTTTGAGATCAGCATGTGAAAGGGCTATTGTGAAAATGCTCAATAGAGACAACAGTCTGAATACATGGCTAAAAACTGAGGTTGTCACTTAGGCTTGCGTGAGCCCCATTCAGATGAGAACTTCGAGATCTGGCCCATTGAAGTAGGAAGAGTCCCCTTACATGCCCTGCGCTGGTCAGGATAGGCAGCCCTTGATTGCAATGCCCAGTAGCTGTATGCACTGCTGGTGCACTGCCAAGATGGTGCACTGCCAAGAAACAGGGCATGGCTATTGCTCACCTTCCATCCAACATTGCTCATAGAAGTACCCTGGGTCCAAAGCGGGGGAAGAAATAAAGCAGCAGCATTGCATCATCTTATCATATTAATTGTGAGTTTCGCAGTATTTGGCATTTTTCTTTACAGCTGGAACTTTAAGTACCTTCCAGGTGACCACAAGCCCTGGAGCGTGAACAGCCCGGGACAAACACCCGCTGCGAGTGGCACCATGGAAACTACTTGACTGGCAGCTCCTGGCTTGATGGCCCTCGCTGGCTTCTTTATTATCACTGACTCATCCGTGCAATTCTGGGACTAGGGAGGGATGGAGGATTGCATGGGATGAGGAGCTGATCACACCTCTAGAGAGACTGTATTCCAGGCAATGGATGAGATGGGATCATTTACTCTGCCCTGATTTGGGCAGTGAGCACCATCTCCCATGCTCGCTCTGACCCCTGCACCTTTTCTCTCCCCTTTAAGCTGCCATGGCCCGGTACTGTTCCACCTCCCCAGTGTTGATCCTTGGGCCTGGTCTATACTGAGTTTAATTCGAATTTAGCAGCGTTAAATCGAATTAACCCTGCACCCATCCACACAACGAAGCCATTTATTTCGAAATAAAGGGCTCTTAAAATCGATTTCTGTACTCCTCCCCGACGAGCGGAGTAGCACCAAAATCGATATTGTCATTTCGAATTAGGGTTAGTGTGGCTGCAATTCGATGGTATTGGCCTCCGGGAGCTATCCCACAGTGCACCATTGTGACCGCTCTGGACAGCAATCTGAACTCAGATGCACTGGCCAGGTAGACAGGAAAAGCCCCGCGAACATTTAAATTTCATTTTCTGTTTGCCCAGCACAGGAGAGCACAGGTGACCACAGAGAGCTCATCAGCACAGATAACAATGCAGGCCGATAATCGAAAAAGAGCACCAGCACGGACCGTACGGGAGGTACTGGATCTGATCGCTATATGGGGAGAGGATTCAGTGCTAGCAGAACTTCGTTTGAAAAGACGAAATGCCAAAACTTTTGAAAAAATCTCCAAGGGCATGATGGAGAGAGGCCACAATAGGGACTCAGAGCAGTGCCGCATGAAAGTCAAGGAGCTCAGACAAGCATATCAAAAAACAAAGGAAGCAAACGGTCACTCCGGGTCAGAGCCGCGGACATGCCGCTTCTACGCCGAGCTGCATGCAGTTCTAGGGGGGGCCGCCACCACTACCCCACCTCTGATCGTGGATTCCGAGGCGGGGGTAATTTCATCAGCCACACCTGAGGATTCTGCGGATGGGGAAGAGGAGGAGGACGAGCTTGCGGAGAGCACACAGCACTCCGTTCTCCCCGACAGCCAGGATCTTTTTCTCACCCTGACTGAAGTGCCCTCCCAAGCCAGTACCCAAGACCATGACCCCATGGAAGAGACGTCAGGTGAGTTTAGCTTTTAAAATATAAAACATGGTTTAAAAGCAAGCGGTTTTTAATGATTAATTTGCCCTGAGGACTTGGGATGCATTCGTGGCCAGTACAGCTACTGGAAAAGTCTGTTAACATGTCTGGGGATGGAGCGGAAATCCTCCAGGGACATCTCCATGAAGCTCTCCTACTCCAAAAGCCTTTGCAGAAGGTTTCTGGGCAGTGCAGCCTTATTCCATCCTCCATGGTAGGACACTTGACCACGCCATTCTAGTAGCAAGTAATCTGGTATCATTGCATGACAAAGCCTGGCGGCGTATGGTCCCGGTGTTTGCTGGCATTCAAGCAACACCGTTTTTTATCTCGCTGTGTAATCCTCAGGAGAGTGATATCGCTCATGGTAACCTGGTTGAAATATGGGAATTTAATTAAGGGGACAGAGGTGGCCCTTCCTACTGGGCTGTTTGCCTGTGGCTGAAAAGAAATCCTTCCCTGGAGTTAGCCAAGCGCGGGGACGGGGGGGATTGGCGCTGAGCTTTTCGCCTTTGGCTAGCAGGGATCTTCCCTGATACCAGCCATGCGGTGGGGGGAGGGGTACAGCGATCATCCCAGATAATTCATGGCGGGTGGGGGGATCGGGGGGTTAGTTTGGTTTCTGCAGGGATCTTCCCTGATACCAGCCACGTGATGGTGGGAGGGATAAAGCGATCATCCCAGAGAATTAGATGGGGGGGGTTAGTTTGTTTTCTGCTGCTGAAGGTTAACAGGAAAACCGCAGCAGTCAATGGGCTTTGCTTGGTATGTGGGAAAGGAGGGCGCAGAAGCCGAAAGACAATGGCTTACCATGGCCACATGCAAGCCGAATTCTGTTGTCCGGACCTGCGTCTGTGATCTCTAACCCTAAAGCCACAGGCACTCAATATTAAGATGGAAAA